TCCTTCCCATTTGCTTGTCTTTGTTCCCACTATTCCCTGGCCTGGAGCATGCTCTCTACCTAATCGGCACTCATCCCAGTCTCCGTTAAGGTTCTGTGGCCTCTTTCAGCTTTTCTTACTTCAGCCCTCAGCAGTTTTTCCTGCCTTCCTCAGAACTCCTGTGGTGCTCACAGTCACCACCCACTCGCTGCTATGTTATTGAGGTGGCTGTGGGTGGTGTGGAGGTGTCTTTCCCACCAGTAGACTGTAAACTACCTGAAGGCAGAGATAATGACTGTGTCCTCCTCAGAGTTCATCGCCTAGAACTCTGTGAAATCTGACAGAAGTAGGGAAGTTAGTTGGTCGCCACTGTGGGCCTCCCCAGACCTCCTTGGCCTCATTTCCCACTTCCCAGGAAGCCTCTGTCATTCTGGCTCATGTTAGCTAAAGCACTCCCAGCTTTCTGTCAGTTTAGGGTGACTCCCTGCATCAGGGCACAGGCAGTGGGAAAAGGGACCCAAGTCTTAAATTTTCACAAGGCAGCTATTTCCCCTGTAGCTTCTTCCTTTCTTGACTTATCCAGATAGAAATTGCACGTGTAGCCAGAGGCATATTTGCACAGGGGGAGGTTCTTTCTGTGAAAATTAAGGACATCACGGTGGTGAGGAAAAAGAAGTCAGTAAGAAGCCCTTCAAAGAGCCAGGGTGTCCTCCAGGTGCACCATTAGATGTGTAGCTACACACACACACACACACACTCATGGGCAGGGAGCCCATCGCTTGCACTACCGTTGGAATGGAGTCACAGTATAGTTCTTAGCAATGTCATGGCCAGAAGGTGGCAATGGCATAGACAGCCTGCTCAAAACACTCAGCTTGTGAGTAGTCTTTCCTTCTTGGCAGACTTCATGGCTACCACCATTTCTCTCTGCCAGCAGCCATTTCTACTGTCTTCTGCCAAAAGGGAAGAAGGGAAGTGGTCTTCAGATATCATCACTTACCCAGAAGCTTGAACATTTCCCTCTAAACTGGCACTCCTATCTGCCAAATATAGGAGCCAAGACAGCCCCTGCCCTGTCTGAATCAAAGAGAAGAATTTAAGAGGAAAAAAATCTCCTAGATGTCCAGACCCACAATGCTCTGGGGCCACATCTAATTAACTTACAGCCTCTGATGTCAACAGGTTCCAAGGCTGGGTGGTGCTTTTGCAAACACGTTCCAGAAGAGTCAACATGATCTGGTGTTGACATGGGCCCATAACTGTCACAGGCAGTAGTTTCCAATTTATGGATCCCATAAAGCTTTGGCCATATGATTGGTATAATGTGTGATGTGTTTTTGACAATACACAGGAGGTGGGGGGTGGGGAGTACTGGCTCCACATTTGGTCATGGGTTTGGACTCACAAGGAAAAACCTGTAATGATTTCTGTTAAGGTCAAGTAGCTATAATAATGACTCCAAACAAGGAACCCAGGAATGCTATATGGTTCTTTACTAGCAAACTCTGGACCTCTCCATCAGCTTTACTCATTCAGCAACTACTAGTTACTGCCTGCTCAGCACCAGGCACATAGTACAGAGCAAGTACAGAGTGTAGCGGAAGCACGAGGGGTGGGGGATAAACTCACCTCCAAGGATTCAGTAAGCACTGTCCTGAGCTGGAGGAGTATTTGTGCAAACATACGTGCATCCGCATGCAGATGTCTATGTCTTTCCCCTAATAGATCCCTTAGGGTTCTCCAAAGCCGGGCAGTCAGGTCCCTGAAAGCCAAGCAACCAGCAAATATTTATTATCCACCTATCGATTGCTCACAGGCCAAGGGACAAAGTGTGTGGCTCCCAGCACATAGTATACATTTGCTTAAGAGTAGAGAAAGAGTAGTATATTTTAGATTCGTGTTTACATACCCATCATCACGCAAGTCCAACTCAGCAAGACTTTTTATCTTAAACAGTCTAAAACACTGGCAACCCTAAATTCTGGTAAGGACGTGGAGTGAAAGAAGAGGAACTCTCACTTTTACTGGTGGGAATGAAAAATAGTAAAGACACTTAGGAAGACATTTTGGTGGTTTCTCAGAAAACTAAACATATTCTTACCTTATAATCCAGCAATAGTTCTTAGTATTTGCTCAAAGAAGTTGAAAATGAATGTCCACAAAAGAGCTCTGCACATGGATGTCTGCTAGCAGCTTTCATCATAAATGCCCAAACTTGGAAACAACAAAAATGCCTTTAATAGATAACAAGATAACCTTGAACATTCTCAAATGGGATGTTAGTCCCAGAATCAAAGGAGCTATTGAACAATGAAAAGATGTGGTGGAACCTTAAATTCATATTAGTAGGCAAAATTAGCCAATCTGAAATGTTTCAGAAAATATGACACTCTGAGAGAGGCAAAATCATGGAGGCAGTAAAAGAGAAGTGATTGCCAGAGTTTTAGGGAGGGGGAAGGATACATAGAGCAGAGAGGATTTTTAGAGCAGTAAAATTGTCTCATACTGCATACACTGCAACAGTGTATAGGATACATGCTGTCTTCATCCATTTCGTGCTACCAAAACAGAATGTCTGAGGCTGGGTGACTTATAAAAAACAGAAATGTGTTTCTCACAGTACAGGAGGCTGGGAAGTCTAAGAGCAAGGCACCAGCATCTGATATTGATTCATAAGGACGTTCTTGTGGGCATGGAGGGTGGTGTCCTTCCATAGCAGAAGGCCAGAGGCAAGATAGGATGAACACTGTACCCTCACATGGCAGAACAGAACAGAGCAAACCCATCCTCAAAAAAACCTTTCTATAAGGACATTGATCCATTAAGAATCACCCCCACTTGGTCCCACCTTTCCAACACTGCTGCTTTGGGGATTAAGTGTCCAGCACATAAATTTTTCAGGGGAAAAATATTAAATATTCAAATGATAATACACACACACACACACACACACACACAAGGTTCAACACTAACAATGAATTCTAATGTTCTCATAAACCACCATGGGCTTTTGTCGATAATGATGTCAGTACTGAGTCATGGAACTATAGGGACTGGACCCAGTGTGTCGTTGTGGCACCAGATGTTGGGGAAAGGGAGGTGGAAGAGAGGACAAGGGAAGAAGCACACTGGAACTCTGTCTTTTCTGCTCAGTTTGCTATTGTGACAGCTAAAGCTTATTGTCAGCTTGGCTGGCTTGAGTGCTGCCTAGATTAGTATAACACACTTGGGAGTGTGTCTGGATAGGTCTTGGGAGCATGACCTTAGGGTCTACAGCTGGTCGCAGGCCCTGAAACCTTGAGCCAAATTAAACCTCTCTCCTATATGTGGAAGACACAGTTACTTTGTTCTAGCAATGGAAAAACTGACCAATACAACTGTGAACCTAAAACTTCTAGGAAAATAGTCTGTTTGAATGAATGAATGATAAAAATGACATTCCAAACTGTGAGCAATTATAGGAAAAAATGAATGGATCCAAAAGGCAAGTTCCTCAGCTGACGACCTGGGTGGATTTCTTAGGTTCTTCTTTTCTTTCTTTCTTTCTTTTTTTTTTTGGTACCAGGGTTTAGACTCAGGACCTTGCACTTCCTAGGCAGGTGGCGGAACCACTGAGCTAAATCCCCGGCTCCCTTAGGTTCTTCTTGACATGAGAGATACTTAAACCACTAATAGTTAAAGCAGGTAAAGTTTAAAGTATCTTTGTTTCTCAAGACAAAGAAATATATTTGTCTTTGTACTTATCAACCTATTGACACCATCTTTTCAAATCAATACTTAGATCGCTATCACATGGTTAAGAGCTGCATAAGAACACAGTAACGTAACTGCCATGCCACCGATGGGCATTTATGCGGCTTCCTATTCTTTGCCTTTATAACCGGGCTGGTGTGAACATCCTTACAACAAAGATAGACTTCCTGGACCTACTAAGACTAGATGATCAGAAGAGGAAAGGTGACTTCCACTTCAGGAAGGATTCACGGCACATGTGAAATCTGAACTGGATTTATGACTTGGTGGCGACTATGAGATGAAGTTAGAGAGAAAGGCAGTCAAAGTTCACGGCTGACCTAGAGCAAGAGAAACAGAGGCAGGAAGGGGCAGGATCAGAGGACATGGCGCAGGAGATGGAAACAGTGAACAAAGAACAGAGGGGCAGGAAACAAGATTCAGAGTAGATGTGGACAGGTCTGAAGATGGCTTTGGGTGCCAGGCAAAGGTTCCATTGTTATAGATCAACAAGATGATGCATGCTGACTCACTCGTGGATGGCATTCATCCATGCCCCAGTGCTCCATAGGTAACTCAAACTTAACTCCCCTGTTAATGTTACAAAGGAAAAGCACCCTTGATTTCAGAGTGGGAGACCTGGAAAGAAAATGTACAGGCTCGGTGAGAACAGAAGAAAGAATATGGCAAGGACTTGGCACGGTAGTTCTTCGTAAAAGCTGACTACTAATATGAACCATCAGAACGAAAGAGCATTTTAAGCCAGGCATGGTAGCCCACGCTTGTAGTCCCAGTACTCGGTAGGCTGAGGCAAGAGGATTGCGATGAGTTCAAGGCAAGCCTAGGGGCTACACAGTGAGTACAAGGCCAGCCTGAACTATATAGTGAGACCCTGTGAATAAACCAAAAAAAGAAAATTCTGGGGTCCTGCAGTTCCAAGTTCACCATTTTTAAAATGTTGACCTGGCTCTGCCTGCACTGGCATCTTTAGTTTCCAGGAAAGTTTCTGTCTCACAAAGCAAAGTTTGCTTCAAGGAGAGAAGAGGAGAAACTACACAGCTATGTGGCTGCTGGATTCCGGTCCCATCGCTTTACCTCTTTAGCATTCAAGGCCTCACCATCTGAGCATCAAATTCACTGCGGCCTAAACTGGCCCATGACTTTTTCTTTTTTTGTATTTGGAGTTTATATTAGAAATTAAGATTTACTGCATTTTTAGCCTTTGTGAAGGAAAAGTGGAGGCAATAGAGACCTACTTGTCCAATGTGTCATTTGAAACATGGTGGGCAAGCAGAGGGGGGCAGCTTTATTTATTACCACCTGCTCACTGGCGTCCTGGGAAATGGAACTGTTTGCTCTGCCAAGCACACATGGGAATGAGTACAGCACAGAGGCCAGGGTTACAGCAGCTTTCCGATCTTGAATTATGAAAAGATTAGACAAGGTTGGGAGAAGGGACACTCTGTTGTTTGTCTTCCATCTTTTGTGAAGGTCTAGGGTGAGGAAAACCTAGGAGAAAAACAGTTAAAAAGTCCATCAAATGATGCTCATTGGAAAATTTATTTACTCTTCGTAGTTATGTCAGGTCAGAAATTGGAATGCAAATAGTGTCTTCTCTCTGGGAAGTGAGGAATTCACCAGCCTTAGGCCCAGAGTCCTGCCGTGGCCCTGAAGCACTTGTCATTGTCATGGCCCACCTCATGGGTCACGATATTGTGTCCTGTGAATTTGGGAGTTGAAGTCCATGCCTGCTTAACAGATTAGTGAGTGAATTGTATTTTCCAAATTTGTTTGCTTGCCTTTTCTCCTTGGCAAGCCATGTCACATCCAACCAATCTACAAAACAATAGCATTTGGATAGCTTCTTTGTTAAAAGAAACTGTGGTACCACCAATGCCATTTGCATGTCGATCTCTTACTTCTGCTGCCTATCAAACCTTTGAACCATGCATCGTTCCTAGGTGTCCATTATAAGATTTGTATATGATGGAAACCATCTTCCTGAGAACCCTGTCCAAACCTCGTTGGACTGTGACACTTTCCCATCACACGAAACTCACCTTCCCTCTCCATGCTCATCTGTGGCCACCAAGCTCCTTTCTGGGCCTCTGTAAAGAGCTGTCCCTTTGAAAGAAATACACATCTGTCTTAGCTCAGACAGTCACAGCAAAATACCATATTTGGTAAGTTGGACAGTGGAATTTCTTATAGTCCAGCGGTTAGAAGTCTAGCATTAAGGTTACAGCATCAGGATCTGGTGAGGATTTTCTTCCTGGCTTGTAGCTGGATGACTTCTCACTGTGCCTCCACATGGCTCAGAGAAAGGAAGAGAGATCTTCTTCGTCTTATATAAAAGCCCTAATCTCCTCATGAGGGCCTGGTCCTCATGACTTCATCTGACCCTAATTACTTCCCAAAGATTCTTTGTCTTCAAATACTGTCATCATTGAACTGAGGATAAGGGCTTCCACGTGACTTGGTAGGGCACATTAAGGCCATAACACCACAAACTTGGCTTAAATACGACCTCCACTGAGAGTCCTGATATGCCAAGTCTGTGTTCTTTCACAATATCCCATGTTTATCGTGGCACTTAGCACTTTATTACAGTTTTATGCATCCCTCTATGTCTCATCCTACCAGTCTGAACTACCAGGAAAGAACTGGGTTTTAATCATTGATGGACCCTTACTGCCTAGAGTAATAACATGCATACAATAAGCATTCAGTTAATTGTCTATTGTGTGACTTCAGTAGTTATTGTAACAATAAGAAAAAAACAAAAGAATGTTTGTAAGTAAAGGAAAACTATATTAAATTACCTTAAACCCTTATTTTTGGGAGAATCAGCAGCTCTGGAATGAATAAAAGACTGGTCCCAAAATACACAACTATTAGGCGATAGACCTGAAATTTGAGCTCAGGTGATCTTGGGTTTTGACCTAGTTTCTGAATGTGAAAGTCTCCTCTACCTCTCTAACCTTCAGTTTTGTCATCTGTAAAATGAGAAGCTTATGCCAGATGCTCCCTATGACCCTGCCCAACAGGGAGGCCTGGAAATGTCATGACCAAGATCTCCAAGGTTCACTCTGAGAATGTTTAGGTTCCTGACTCAAACTCAATGACCAGCTGAGATGTGAAGTTTAGATCTGTAGATCAGAAGGGGGTCAAGGGAGTGTAAAAGATATAGTCTGATCATTTGAGTCATGTGCATGGAACACGCACATTTCAGAATACTCAAGGAATCTCTTCATTTTCTCCTCAGAAAATGTAATGATTTCACTGTCAACCATCTCTTCTGCTGATCATAAACCATCCTTCAACATCAGGAACCACGTTGTAAGGGTGTTTAGGATCAGGCAAGTGGAAGCACTGTCCACACACCTTCATCCACCCAGAATTGGCCTGGGTTTGCACCCAAGATCCCAGGACACAGTGAAAACGACAGTGACAGTTTCACAGTTACTTGAGACCTTAAGTAGTTCTAAGTGCAAGTTTCATGCTGTTCAGAGGTATTCTGAATCTCAAATTTTAAAAACAATTGAATAAAAACATTTTTACAAAATCATTGAATGAAGTATGCTGGCTTCATTAGAACCCTATTTTGGAAATAAATTTGAATGACAGCAGTTTTCAAAATAAACTTCAAAGATAAACACTAGTCATTCTTCAAAAGTTACTAAGAAACTTCAAATACTTTTGGGCACAGAGACTTTTAAAAAAATTTTTTTTTTTGGTACCAGATATTGAACTCGGGTCCTTGCATTTGCAAGGCAGGCCACCGAACTGCTGAGCTAAATCCCCGGCCACAAAACTGTTATAACTTTCTAGACTCAGGTGTAGGTAAATCTTACTCTTACATCCTTCATATTGCAAATTAATAAGAGTATGTCCAGAACGTTAAAAATATTTATGTTCAGTTAAACCATTACTTTTTCTGAGGAGATTGAACTCGGGTCCTTGCATTTGCAAGGCAGGCCACCGAACTGCTGAGCTAAATCCCCGGCCACAAAACTGTTATAACTTTCTAGACTCAGGTGTAGGTAAATCTTACTCTTACATCCTTCATATTGCAAATTAATAAGAGTATGTCCAGAACGTTAAAAATATTTATGTTCAGTTAAACCATTACTTTTTCTGAGGAGAAAATGAAGATTCCTTCAATTTTCTGAAATCTTTGTGTTCCATGCACATGACTCAAATGATCAGACTATGACTTTTACACTCCCTAAACCCCAAGCAGTTCCCTGTGAAATCCTGTTCTGAGTTATGTGTCTTATCTATCTTTGTCCTTTAGAAAAGTGCCAGATAACTGTTTTCTTCTCCTTGCCCCCCTTATATGCCTTAGGAAGAATATCTACTTCCTGAGAGAAGCAAAAGGGTGTTATAGAAGTTTCTGCTTTAGAATCTCTGGAAAAGCTCTCACTAGGCTCGATTTGGCCCAGCCCTGCCTCCGCCAAATCACACAGTTCACCTTTCACCCCCAATCTTGAGCTCCGGTCTATAAAGAAAAAAGGAAAAAGCAAGCCGTTGAAAAGAAACTTAATTCTTCTTTGTGGAATAAGGCAACATGCTTCTATGACTTTTGACCTCCAGAGGTTGGATAAGATGATTTTCCACATGGTTTATTGTGAAAGGTTTTATTGCACACATTCACCTCTCAGATCCCCCAAACAATTTAATTGCCACAAAAATAGCTAACATATGTGGCAAGTTTTAAAAATGTCCATCCACCAAATGGATTTGCTTCTCATGAGGCCACCCCGAGCTGGCAGCTTCTGCCTCCACACATCTCCCCAAGGTTCTGAGCTAGATGGCTGGAGTCACCCCGTGACCTGTAATGACGGTGGCTCAAAGGAAAGAGGAGACAGATTCTCCTACAGCCACGAAGCCTAGGTCTTGGTGGCCAGATTTCTTTCTACGTTAGCAATGGTTCAGTGTGTTGGTTTGCTTATTCTTCTCTGGGAGGTGTTTGCTGTGTTGTTTACACGTATTTCATTTTTCTCATGGTGTAATATCTGTACACACCTTTGGGGTACAGTATGATGTCCTGATTCATACACACATTGGATAGTGATCAAAATGGGGTGATCAGCATATAGCCATCACCTCAAACTTTATCACTTCTTCGTGGTGAATACATTCAGAATCCTCTTGTATATCTCAAATAATTAGGAGATGGCAGGTGCTTTGTAAAACATTTCAGTGAGTGATGAAAAGTGTGTAGTTGTAGACTCCACAAAGGGAGAATAAACCAGCACAGCTCACAGTCCCTGTCTCAGTGGGCTAGCTGATCTTCATATTCCCCCAGGGATTCTCATTTGTAAGATACCGACATCATTAACCTGTCTGCAAAAACAGGGAGAGAGACCTGTCATAATCTATTAGAAGCAATGACACTATTTCCTTGACAGAAGGCCATTGTATTTATATCGCATTAGCTAGTAAAAGCAATACTAGAAAATCATATAGGGATGCCTTTCTCTCTACATAACAGATGCCACTTTATAAAGTGGGGCTGCCGAGGGAGTAACCCAGCTCCTCCAAAGACCTCACCAGTGTGTCCTCCGCTATTCCTGGGGGCCCCAGAAGATGGCCTCAGAGGTCCACAAACCAGGCTGTCAGCAGTAACCCCCCTACCTGCCTCCAGTTCCATACAACTCATTGTGAAGATGGGACCACTCAGTAGAAGAATCTGGTATCTGCCCCTGGAAGCCAGCAAGGTTTCTTCTGTTCCAGATACCAAAAGAAAGCTGAGAAAGGCAGGGGAAGGCTCCCTTCTCCTCAGAGCCTTGCCTGATCCATCACCTGCCTCAGGCCCGGTAAAGTTTCTCTCAGGCATCTCCAACAGTTTCTGATCTTCACCCTTCTTTCTATAGTGGCTAAAAATAAACCCAAGGGACCATGGAGGGATGTTCTGTGGCTAAGCTGGCACTTTTTATCTTTATCTTTGTTTCTTTTAGTAACAATAGGGAAATTGTTTTAGGAGCCAGGACCTGAATTGACCTGGTGGAGACTTGTCTTTTGCTGGCAAAATATTTTGATAAGCCAGTCTGACTAGAGCAAGATGGTCCTTAGGGCATGAATTAGACTAAATGGTTAAGTAAGAAGTTTTGAGGCCCAGGGCTTTAGCTCAGTGGCACCATGCCTGCCTCTCAAGCACAAAGTCCTGAGTTTGATCTCTGGTACAAAAAAAAAAAAGAAAGAGAGAGAGAGAGAGATGCTTTTAGTTTCCAGGAGCAATACTGGAGGAAGAGTGGGTATAATATGGAGATAAACTAGGAGAGTTGAGAAGAAGTGATAAGAAAAGATGACCCAAGATAGTGGGGAATCTGTGACCCGAAGAAAGGAGAAAGTAGGAGACCCCCACCAAGTAGGATGTGACAGATTTTTTTAGATGAGATTCTCATTTTTTTAGTATAAAGTTGTTTATTCTGCTATGGGTATCAATCTTCTATGAAAAGGAGCTGAATTAAATTCATTTGGTGAAGCAAGAAAATCCATTAATAGAAATCCCTAAGGGTTAAGTTTAAAAATAGTGATCACTATTAACTAATGAATATCACAACTAATTAGCTCAACATATCAAAATGTGTTCCATATAGAGGCAGCTACATGAAATGAAGATCTTTCTCACCCACGGTTACATATTATACCTGGAATAAGAGAGAGATGTAGGGTTTTATGGCTTTTCTTTGCGCAGTCTGTTTCACATACATCCCCCTCGCCAATGTTTTTCCTGCTCAGTTGCTGGTGCTAATGGTGTTTGGAGAAAGTAAGAAAAAGGCATGTCTTCCATATTTTTAGTTGTGACATTTAAAGGGGGGATATATCATGAGACGTGAGATATGAGAGAATTCAGGAATTCAGAATCTGAGTATGAAATATTGGAATTGAGGAGGGTTGTCATTTACAGTATAGAATGCCCAGCTCAATTTGAATTTCAGAGAAACAGTGAAGGGCTTCTCAATATAGTTACGTTTTAAATATGCTTATTATATATACTGGAGGTCCTGTAGTTTTACATACAAAATCTGGCAACCCTAGGATGTAAGATGCTGAAATATGCTAGCAGTTTAAAAAAATTAATTTAAACAGTACAAGAGCATTACTTGGACACAGTCACTTGGGCAACCTCTGAGTTCAGTAAGGTTGTACATTTTCAGAGGTGCCGGGTTTAGAATCAGGTTTAAAGCCCTTTACAAACTTACACTATGAAACACATAATCTTCACATCCAGCTCCAACATCAAAACTAGCTATGGGACCTTCAAGGATTTCCTAACACCGGTGCTTTGCTGATTGTCTACAACACAAGCCATACCGCTTTACGGGGAATTGCTGCTTAGACCATTACACTTACATAGAAATGAATTTCTAGATACATAAATGAATAACCCCATGCCTCCACTCCCTACTGACAAGTCAGCAGATGGAAACATGGTTTAGGGATCTCCTACCTAAGAACACAATTTCCAGCTAGGCCAGAATAGTCATCATATAGCCAAGTTGGGACCTTTTCTCCACTACTCTGCTACTTGGAAACCATTGCCATATTTTCAAAGTTAAACTTTTATTTTTGAAAAGGATCTAAGTCATGCACAGAGGCAAAGCAGAATAGGAAACATTTGTCAATTGAAAAAAAGCTATTACAAATGTGCTTAATAAAATTCATACAATGTACTTAATAAAGTTGCAGCTTAAAGTGAAATGTTGGGAACCTGTTTCATTTTTATTAAAGCTGGATTTATTGCTTTGGTTTATTGGTTCGTGTTCTTAGAACTTAATTTAGTCCCTAGATGATTTGTCCAAAAAGAAAGCAAGTGGGTTAGCAATTTTGTACTACACCAGTCTAAGCAGCTGTGAGACAGGTATTAATTAACATTTGCCTGCACAAGTGCCCCCTAAGCAAACAAAAAAGCAAGAAAACAAGCACAACAATAAAAACTTTCCTAATTTCATCAGGGTGAACATTCTATAAATATAGCTCATGCTTTTTTGTTGTTGTTATCTTTGCTCTGAAATTCTCTCTGTCTCTCAGGTCTGCCACTTTGAATGCTACTCATCCTCTATAACTAAGAGACTCTTTAATAAGTACAGCTGTGACAAAAATTGTTATCTGTTTGGAAAAAAATTAAAATGAATCTCTACCTCACATCAAATGCAAGAACCAACTCCAAACAAGTTAAAAATTTAAAGGCAAAAACAAAACTGCAAATAGCTAATACAATTTAGACATGAAGTTTAAAATTTAGACATGAAAGAAAGTTTTAAACATAAGAAATAAAACACTGACTATAAAAGAGAAGAGTAATAAATTGCTTTAAATGAAAATAAATACTTCAACTTAAAGACAGTGAAACATTACAAAGTGGAAAATGTTTGCAGCTCACACATTGATAAAGGATCAGCATATATGGACATAAAGAACTACAAATCCTTTTTTAAAAAGCACTGACAACCCAACAGAAAAAATGAGTAAAATACAAAACAGATTCTTCACAAAAGAGAAAATATAATTGGCTAATAAACATAAGTTCTAAAAATAGTAGATGTTAGAAAGGATTTAGATTTATAAAATCACGTATCTGTTGCTGAAAATATAAGTTAAGGCAACTATTGCAGAAATTAATTCAATTTATGTGCTAAAATTAAGCATTCAAATGCTTTAATGATACAATAATTCCAGTTCTAAGAATATATGCCAGAAAATTCTTGGATATATGCACTAAAAGGTTCTTGTAAGGTTTCACTGCGGACATTTGTGTGTCTAAGCAGCTGTGAGATAGGTACTGACTAACCTTTAATAGAGATATGAACTAATCCACAACACAACTAAAACAGAAACAACCTAAATGCTCTTCAACAGGAGATGGGTGAGTGAAACTTGGTATAGCCACAAAGTAATATATATAT